CAGGATTGGCTGGTCGCGCTGACTTGGTTGACACATGTCATCGTATCCCAATTGCATAGATGCGGCTCTTAATGTTGATCACTGGATTGTCTGGTCCAGACTCGACTATTTACAGATCGCCGCCATATAGCTGGAATATTGCTGAGTGCGGCGTTAAACAACAAACAAACCAACCAAACAATGGAATAGGTTTTGATGGATATCGAGACTTCTTATTCTCTTGCGCTGACGTCAAATAATTCAAATTAAACCCATTGTTTATAATTGCGCAATGGTATTTATCATTTTGATAGACAGGGTGGGCGACAAAAGACACGCTAATAAAGGTGTGTTTACTGTCGCTCTTGTTCGTGACATAAAACGCTTGTGACAGGCGTTTTATACCTGACTCTAATGGACTGAGTAATGATTGTAACGATTTGTACATGCATCGTATACAAGTGAAGGTAATGTGTATGTGCTCTATTATACAATGTGCCGTCATACTTTGCCTGGGGTGGATCACCTGGGTGGACATACATCTGCTTGGATGGTTCTCACCATGTGGCCGGGTGGCCTATACTTTCCAGGTGCCGCTATTTGCTGTGTAGAGTTGCGCCCCTTGGGCATGCCAGAAAATGCAGATCCAGGGTTCGAATCCTGGATAGCCCAATCTTGTTATACGCGTGATGTTTGGTTTTACCAAAGTGGTGAAACTGTCCCAATAGATATTGAGGGGCGGTAGGGTAGCCTAGTGGTTAAAGCGTTGGCTCGTCACGCCGAAAACCCGGGTTCGACTCCCCACATGGGTACAATGTGTGAAGCCCATATCTAGTGTCCCCCCGCCGTGGTAATGCTGGAATATTGCTAAAAGTGGTGTAAAACTAAACTCACTCACTCACTCACTCACTCACTTACTAGATATTGTGTTCTTACATTAAGCTGGCAGGCCGACTTATAAATGTTCGTTTGTTTGTTGTTTATTCAAGCTATATGGCGGCGGTCTGTAAATAATCGAGTCTGGACCAGATCAACAGTGATGAACAGCATGAGTTTCGATCTACGCAAATGGGAACCGATGACATGTGTCAACCAAGTCAACGAGCCTGACCACCCGGTCTCGCTAGTCGCCTCTTACGACAAGCATAGTCGCCGTTTGTGGCAAGCATGGGTTGCTGAAGACCTATTCTACCCTGGATCTTCAGAGCATGGGTTGCTGAAGATCAATTGATCTTCACGGATCGCTTCTGCTTTCACTGTTGACTGGTTGATGGTTGACACAAGCTCAACACAAGCACAACACAATCAGCTGGTGAAGAATCATTGTCCCTGGACTTTCTCATATACTCCTCGATCTCAGCTACCGTTCTCTCACTATCTGAGAACCCCTCACAGTCGAAACATGAAGGTCTGTTGGTGGAAGGTTGAACAATGGTCTTTGACAGACAATCCAGTGATCAACAGCATGAGCATCGACCAACGCAATTGAGATACGATGACATGCGTCAACCGTGTTATAAATGCAACAGTGCTCAAAGCGGTGTTAAACCAATTTCACCCACCCATGCACTCTGATCTGATCTGCACGTAGAAAGACCAATGTTTCAACACAACATGGGACAAATATATTACGAAATTAGTTTAATACAAAATGCTGTACAAATCTCAGTCCAGATACGCCTTTTAGTCAGAAAACATTCACCATTATTGTACAAGATGTGATTGCAGAAAGTAACGTAAAGCAGCCCACATTTTCAATGCCAAGATGGTGGAAAAGAAAACGGTAACATCCTGATGCATGTATGAACGTCAATGAACGACTTTGCTACACAATCATGCACCCAGAATTCTTAACACTGGTCACCTGTTGGCATGAGGAACAATATAAACACGAAACTTCGAAGTCTCTAATTCCAAGAAATCTTGCAAGTATTTTACCTACCTTCTCTCCCTTTATGTTTTTATTCCACCTTAGAGTGTCCTGGTATATACTACTCAAAAGACGTTAAGGATCAACTCATTTATGTAATTTTTACAGCAGTTAGTTTGTGGAGTGTTTAACTTATCTTCTCTCCCTTTATGTATTTATTCCACCTTAGAGTGTCTTGGATATATACTACTCAAAAGAAGTTAAGGATCAACTAATTTGTATTATTTCTATAGTTAGTTTGTCAAATATTCTACGTGTCGTCTTTCCCTATGTGTATTTATTCCACCCTACAGTGTTCTGGCTGTACTCTACTCAAAACAGTTAAGGATCACCGATTGCTATTTTTTATTATTATAGTTATTGTGTCAAGTATTTACGTGTCGTCCATCCCTAGATGTATGTATTCCACCCTAGATTGTTCTGGCTATATACTACTCAAAACAGTTAAGGATCACCGATCGTTATTATTATCATAGTTATTTTGTCTTGTCTTGACACATACTACACTACCTTCCATGACATTCTAACTAGAGTAATATGAAAGAATCAGGTGGTTGTTAACTTATTTTGAGCAGTATAAACCTGCGTGAATGTTTGCTATAATGAAGAACATTGTCACCATAACATATCATTACAACAAGTGTAAAACGTATATGTGTCTCTTCGTTTTTTTGTTTTTTATTGTAACGTTCCATTCCAGGCTTTGTACCCTACGATGCAAAAAGAATTACAGCATGTGTTAAACAGCTCTTCGCGTTAATTGCCCTATATTTTCCACCTACTCCAGGAAGTCCTATAATTCAAGAGAAACGCGTTTGTCCAAATGTCTTCTCGGCGCTGTGTGTCTAAGTAGCCAAATAAACAGGAATCACCGGTGCCAGCGGCTTGATTGTCCGCGTAACCACGTTATTGGAAATAGGGTCGCGGCACCGCGGTAATGATCATAGCACGGATTTCAGCGAAAATTCAAATTTTGGTGATTGTGGCAAATGGAACGAGAACGTCGTTAAGGAACACGCCGCAAATGAGGACAAAGCAAATTTCCACCGAGAACTGATAATCCTTGTGATGACAATTGCACCGTGGTTAAAGATGGGTCACAAGGGCTCGAGATGGAAGAAGTCCAGAAACTGATTTGTCCGTCCGCCATGGAGGGTTTCTTCAGAAGGTGCAGTGAGACAGGCCATGTTTTGTTGCTTATTATCACAAGACATGGACATGTTGTGGAAACTAAATGAGCTGGGCACGTCCTCCGACGTCATTAAACATAAATGAAGGGTTGAAACCTACCCATTTCCGTGTCATAGTAATGTTTACCTGAAATAAGGCTTCGTCCACAGTATCAGAATGGTCACGTTAAACGGCCTATTAGTTGAAGTCAATGGAAACCCGTGGACGGTGGGGCGTTGTCTGGCGACTATGTGAGCTTAACGATCTCCTTAGTTGGCATTATTCATTATATGGACTTTTTGACCTTCGTCGCCCTAACAACAACTTGGTTGCCCTAACAACTAACATATAATCCATACATGCACACAAAGCTCATGACAAGGTATACATGTGTGATATCAGTCCTCTCAATGTCTCCCTGTCGTTCCTGTCCTCGAAGATAAAATATGTTTTTGTTTGTATCTAAACATAGCATTGAGTAATTTTCCATCTACGATTTGAAAAATCTATTTTGACAAAACATTCCAATGACTGACATTATGAGCATCGATCAACGCAGTTGGGATACGTTGACATGCATCAACGAAATTAACGTGCACGACAACTTAATCCCGTTAGCTGCCTCACACGACAAGCACGGGCTGCTGAAGATGGGCCCTCACTGTTAGGGCAATGTCCTATATCATTGCTACAGCCTAAAATCGATATTCAATCATACATTTGTCGACACACAACCTGGAAAGATATGTTGTATCACAAAAAAGCAAGACTTCAAACTCCTCATATTGTTCAGCTTTCTCAACTGAAAAAGTATAAAATCCAGAATATAACATGGTTTCCAATGGGAAATAATGCCAGTCGAACAGGTTTGTCAGAAAGCTGGGGAACGTAATTGCTCCAGAATACAAAATCTTAGCGATGACGGACAATGTTTGATGACAGCCAGTTTTTGCCCTAGGATGTTTAACGTATAAGAAAATCTCCAGAAATCGTAAGGGATATCAGATGTGTCCTTCCCAAAGAAAATTTGTTTTCCATCAATCACCACTTCCATGCTGTTTTTGCAAACTTCATGGGTAATACTCAATTTATGGGTAATGCTGAAAAGGCTTATTTCAGAGGTCTTCAGCGTTTTTATATTAATTGAAAATGGGCAGGCTGCAAGTTCAAACATCGCAAATTAGAAAGAAATGAGTTGGTAGCATTTTTTTCAGCCATCTGAACATATCTTGAAATTTCCGTTCTAAAACATATCCGTAGCTCTTATGGGCCAAAAGGGACATGTATTCTACTTCGACATTGGAATATCTTCAAAAAATGATGTAGTTTCAAGATGGATTAGTTACAGATCGGAGATTCTGATGCTGTCCAACAAGCGAATCGAGATGAGATCTACACACTGGCAACCACATTGTTGTGTTGACATCTGCCTAAATACCCAGAACAACTAAATTAGATTTTTGTGTCAGTTTGCCAATTATTTCAAAAACATCGAATATGCGTTTTCAATGAGTGTCAATGCAGATACAAATGGTTGATGCATGTTCAAATTGGGCTTTTGGATTCATATAATTTATGCCTAATTATATACAGTTCGATGGCCCCAAAGCACAATTTTCAATATGGCTTACCTGGCGGAAACCATACATTCATACATTCATTGCATTTTTTTATTTTGGTATGCTAATGCGTCAGGAATTCTTGGACTAATCAAGATAGATGTGGACCACACATCTTTAAAAGAGAGTTTGTTACACGGAATTTATATGGCCTTAGCCAAAACTGACTGAGTTTGGTTTTACGCCGCTTTTAGCAATATTCCAGCAACATCACGGCGGGGAACACCAAAAATGGGCTTCACACATTGTACCCATGTAGGGACCTTAGCCAAAAGAAAAGAAACTTAGCAATACACACGATTTCGACGAAAACATTTAATCAAAGTATAAATGCTAGGACTTCAATATTGATGCCTGCCTAAATTAATGATGAATTGTATAGATTTACAAAATATTTAACGTATTTCGATGTCACTCATATGAAAAACTCATATTTACTTTGCTTACGAGATATATTAAATCACAACATCCTTTTAATTCCAAATTATGTCATCTTATCTGAAATTTTTACAAGGTTTACATTGATTAGAACTTAGTCCCAAATGATCTTCACATATTCTTAGCTATTTAAAATGAAGGTAAATTGGCGTGGAACGTTAATCGGTTTGCATCCCTGGACAAAGAAACAACTTGATTCTCACCAATGACTAATGAAAACGGCATTATATGATATCACTAAAATAAATATGATCGTGAATGAGATTAAAACTATTAATCAACGGAGCAAAACGTCAAATATATTTCCAGACCCACCACAAAGTCTCTACATACATCACTGCACACGGACCTTTGCATAAAATACCGTGACGGCCATATTGAAATTACCGTTAGAACAGGTTATTACTCAATCAGGTTATTACCAATTAGATAATTGTGTTATACTGTGCTGCAATTACGTGTATTATGTGTATGGCGGTTATTGTGTTGCATTACGAAGTGATGCAACATTTGATATGAATATGAAGAAAATAATCAACAGTTTGCTCTGAAAATGTGCATGATGACATCATACTTCCCAAGGCGATTCCTTGCAAGGATGACGAATGAATCTTGTTACAGCCATACACAAGTAGTGATCGTGATAAACATAAGTTAAAATCCCCCAAACAATTCGCGTATATAACTGTCACACTTATAAATAGGGCACTGAGGGAGGGAAAACGTACATTTCCCGTCATACACCGGGATCAGATTTCATCCTGTCCCAACTTCCGGTTCAGAATTGCTAGAGGACCCACACCGCCTTGGAATCCGCTAGAACTGTTTCCTCGCTGCGAAGTTTCCCATAACTGTTTTTGCATCATTGCCAAAGATATCTTGTTGGCCTGCAAGAAATCCCTCATAGATATCATTTCTCCTGAGTTACGCCTGTACTCAGAGTCGCTGTCGCCGTCTGGTTCTGCGACAGTAACAGCAGGAGGCTTCGTTCCCCTGTGTAAGTGTCCCGGGGTAATTGCATTACGACGGGTTCGAGTCGGCTTTCGAACCTGACACTGGCAGTTCAGCCTTCGCAACAACCAGTTTAGAAACTGCTTTATCACAATTGAAGTCACATTGAATAAACTGTATATGCAACAACATCCAATCACAATGAAAATAAAGTTGCCTAAACGATAGAAGTGGACATTGATGTAGTTGGCTTTTTGGCTTACTACATAATCACCGAATCCTATAGTAGCAAATGTCACGAAACAGAAGTACATTGCCTCGAAGTATGTCCAATCTTCCACGGGATAGTACATAGCCGAGGCACAACAGGCGACAATACCCGCCCCCAGCAGGAGAATAAGCATGACCCAGTAGACAGAGGGTTTCCACGAATCAAGGTTCTCGTCTTCGGATATCTGTGACGATCGTCGGTCCTTGGAGTCCCGTGAATCGTTCATGAGACCTTTCCGTTTTAATTCCCGTTCGTGTATGGCTCGCAGTATGTAGGCTAGGAACGTGATGATTCTCTCCAGGAACAAATTGAAGAACAAGATAGCTCCAGCACAACCGAAAAACCCATAGAATATGAGCACCACCTTCCCAGGTACAGTCTGTGGGGTTGTCATCCCGAATCCTGCAACATACAATGTAGTAAAGTTAGAACATTTACGGTAGCAGAGGTGGATGTCTAAATATATTTTCGAAATATGAAGCTATCTTCGTTTCCCCTTTTGTTTCTTTGAAGCGCTTAGTGACGTTACCTTAGAATCTCTGTATCATCAGAGATAGCCCCGAGGGGCTTTACATCAGAGAGATACATTACAGTGATTTTATCAGCAAAGTTGCACCCTAATATGGTTTGTAAAATCAGAGACGGATCTTTTATGCTTGTTGTATCAAGAGAGACAGTTTATAGTGTATCTATAATCAGCGATTGATTTTGCATCGTTTGAGACAGACCATGTAGGATTTTTACCTTATATGGTTTGAGCGAGAGGAGGCAGACCTCTGTCTGTCTCTCTGTCTGTGTGTGTGTGTGTGTGTGTGTGTGTGTGTTTGTGTGTGGTATCAGTAGACATCAGCAGAGATAGAACACAATGTTACGAGGTATCAGTAGAGATAGAACACAAAGTTACGAGGCATCAGTTGAGATAGAACACAAAGTTACGAGGCATCAGTTGAGATAGAACACAAAGTTACGAGGCATCAGTTGAGATAGAACACAAAGTTACGAGGTATCAGTTGAGATAGAACACAAAGTTACGAGGCATCAGTAGAGATAGAACACAAAGTTACGAGGCATCAGTTGAGATAGAACACAAAGTTACGAGGCATCAGTTGAGATAGAACACAAAGTTACGAGGCATCAGTTGAGATAGAACACAAAGTTACGAGGCATCAGTCACAAAGTTACGAGGTATCAGTAGAGATAGAACACAAAGTTACGAGGTATCAGTAGAGATAGAACACAAAGTTACGAGGTCAGTTGAGATAGAACACAAAGTTACGAGGTATCAGTAGAGATAGAACACAAAGATACGAGGCATCAGTTGAGATAGAACACAAAGTTACGAGGCATCAGCAGAGATAGAACACAAAGTTACGAGGCATCAGTTGAGATAGAACACAAAGTTACGAGGCATCAGTTGCGATAGAACACAAAGTTACGAGGTATCAGTTGAGATAGAACACAAAGTTACGAGGTATCAGCAGAGATCTAACACGCCGTGTCGGCGGTCTCCTCAGTCATAGTACACAGCTATTTGAGTATTTCGATCTACGTTATAATCATCTGTGTTATGAAAGACCTTCAACCGAGTAACTGCCCGGTAATGCAATCAGAGAGCAAGTAGATGGCAATCACGACCCTGTCCCTACACCGGAGCACTGCACAAAGCAATAGGCACACATCTGTAGAACTTCGCGTTATAGAAGACATACACGCTTCACATGGAGACAGCCAGTAATGGGTATTGATTGACTACAACGGGTTTCATACTCGGATAATTAATCCCCTGATCTGTATATAAAGTCTTGTTGACAGCTCTTGATAACACGTTATCTGACTGAGTTGCCGGGAGATTGTGTTTGGAAGATACATTACCAAGCCGGAGGAACAAATCACCATTTTATGTCGTGTGTGTAATCTTCAGTTACACTTCACTCGTGTAAATTGAAATTAAAACACACGTACGTTCTCTCTGACCAAAGCGGGACTATCGGATATTGTGAATAATACATCAAAGGATAACGCCGCCCCACGACACATGTCATTACATGTCAAACGAGAAATCAAGTCATGACATATGCCTGAGAAGTTTTCGTGCGTGGGTGACTTTGATAAACACAACGTTCCACGTTCCCAATGTTATACCATTTTATTGTGGTGGGGAAGTGACTCTGGTAGTAGGTATCACAATTCTGAACACAGCTAGCATCACGACACCACTGCAGACTGGATCATATGATCTTCCCCGACCAGGCAGACGAAACAATGCAGATTACTGCTGCGCCTTGTAAATATGTGGTATGGGTGCGTGTACGGGCCACACTCTAGAATGTTAGATATCATTTTCGGAGAAGATACTTTCTCCTGAATACTTAAATTTCTTCTACGTAGATGGTGCTTTTAGCTACGTAGAACATACTTTCATCTACGTTGAAGATACTTTTAATTACGTAGAAGATACTTATTATTACGTAGAGTGCACTTTCGTCTAGGTAGATGATACTTACATCTATGTAGAAGATACTTTCATCAAGGAAGATGAATTTAATTATGTAGATGATACTTTTATCTACGTATAAAATACTCATGTTGTATTTTAAGTTGGCCTTTTCTGTGTTTTATTTCAAAGTAACAGCGTTTAAATGAAAAAGAAAAACCTCGAATAAATTCATTTTAACAAAACTTCGACACATTATTAATTGTTCTGATAGTACCTCAATAGAGCCTCTATAGAATGTGATATTATATATGAAACATTAAACATCATCTAAGTAATAATAATAACAATAAGGGAATTTGTAATGAGCTGAATTCAGCACCACGGAGGGGCACGTTCAAAGGGCTACAATCTGATATCATTACCCCGGATAAGCCAAGCTGCCTGTGAGGCGCAAAAAGGTTAATACTCACATGACTTATCCCACCGGGTACCCATTTTCAGCTGGGTGAACAGAGGCAAGTTTGACGAAAATATCTTTAACAAATCATCTACGGTAGACGTTAATACCATCTACATAGATGTAATCATTATCTACGCCTATGTTAGAATGGTGTGACTTTGGCACTAATACGCTTCCATACCATGGGGCATCCGTTGTCATGAAAGCAAACAGCATCTTGCAGTGAACACTATTTCCTCTCAACCGATGACACGCCCTTGTCGCCCACGCCCAAATATTATTGTGAATAAAGTAACCCTTTCCATGATCATACAAAATGTCTGCTTTAATCAGGTCCTTTGGACACTAACGAACATATGATGAGCACGTGCTTATGAATCACTACCACATAGTCATTATAGCAGGGGTCCGCAATGGTGAACATATAAACCACAACACAAATCACGTTTACGACAATCGATTTAGAAAGCTTTTCTTGGGCCATGGCTCTTTTAAACCTGATCAAACCAATTTTGAGCAAGACACGGAGAAATTTCTTTGTAATTGTAGACGCATGCTCTATTGCGGAAAGATATGTTGACGTTCCTGCTATTGGTTATTTATTATTATTATTGGATATTTATATAGCGCACATATCCACGTACGTGTGCATGCTCAAGGCGCTGGTACTTTTCCCCTGGATCAAATCGATTGGATGTCAACTCAACAGCACATCTTATTAACAATCTCAGCTCCCTGGGGAGCCACAAGTAATTGCGGCTTCCCCATCCTTACTAGGTAGCCATTCACAGCTGGGACACATAGTCACAGTACTTTGTCCAAGTTTACTGCACGTTGCTGTACCCGCAACTAGGTATTTGCACGTATTCATGGGCTACCATCTGGTCATATACCAACGGTCCTTTTAAGTGCACAGGGTTGTCTACTGTACACTAGGGGTTGTGACAACACTGAGAGAGTCTGCACACAAGTTGACTCCAACGTTTTTACACCCGGTCACAAGTGGGCTCGATCCCGGCACCTCGCTGGATAACTAGCCTGGCGCCTTAGCCAGCTCGTCCACCACGCCCCCTTGGTTCCAGGTAAAGTCATTATTACAGACGTATGTCATACGAAATAGACCCGGCGACGAAATTGTAACTCACAGCTGAAAAGCTTAAACTACATTTATAAGTGAAAAAAAATAAAATTTCATTTACCATGTATTTAAATGATTAATGCATTAATAATGAGTGAGTGAATTTAGTTTTACGCCGCTTGTAGCAATATTTCAGCAATATCACGACGGGGGACACCAGAAATGGGCTTCACACATTGTACCAATGTGGGGAATCGAACCTGGGTCTTCGGCATGAGGAGGGGACACTTTAACCACTTGGCTACCTCACCGCCCCTAATGCATAAATATTCAAGACTAATCGACAATATGGGCAAAAAAGCAAACAAATAGTTTCTTGATGAGAAACATTGAATTCAAATTGTATTAAACAAAGTGAAAAATATCCGAATATAGCTTATAAGGTGGCAAAAGTTTTTGAAATTGGAAACAAGTTTGAAAACGCGAAAAGTGAGCAGAAATATCATTTTGTTTCGAAACAAGCTTACTACATGACAATGGCGTATACATTAAGGTCTTCCTGTTTTAAAATATTAATGAAAGAGGCTCTACTAATGCTGAGAGTGGTTATCTTTATTGTGGTTATAGTGAGTGAGTGAGTGAGTTTGCATTTACGCCGCTTTTAGGAATATTCCAGCAATATAAAGGCGGGGGACACCAGAAATGGCCTTCACACATTGTGTCCATGTGGGGAATCGAACCCGGTCTTCAGCGTAACGAGCGAACGCTTTAACCACGAGGCTACCTCACCTCCCCTATTGTGGTTATATCACTTGTAACTGAATGATGGTTATTGAAGGCAACATCTTACGTGACATCTTGCAATGGTCATAGATGCTGACTGGCTTTCCGTGATCGTTTACAATGAACGGCCTATTCGTCCATTGTGTGTGTGTGCATGTGTGTGCGCGTGAGTGTTTGTGTATATGCCCGTGTTTGTGTTTGTGCCTGTGTGTATGCGCGTTTGTGTTTGATTGTGTGCGTGTTTGCTTTTGTGTTTGTGTGTGTATGAGAGTGTTTGTTGTGTGTGCGCGCGCGCGTGTGTGTGTGTGTGTGCGTGCGTGCGTGCGTGCGCGCGCGCGCGTGTGTGATGGTGATTTACAAAATGAACAAAAACATCATTTTCTTTGTTTGATGCACATAACGGAGATGCCTGAAGTCCTGAATTGAACTTTAATAGATTGTTTTCATGAGGTGTCTTGCTAATAACGTTCTCAACATCGTCCCCTCTCAGGTCCACACCTCTGTCATGAATGCTGGAGGACCAGGAACACACGGCTTAGACTCTGAGTGTGTGAGTGAGTGAGTTTAGTTTTACGCCGCTTGAAGCAATGTTCCAGCAATATCACGGTTGGCTCCACACATTTTACCCTTGTGGGGAATCGAAC